GAAGCACGCAGAAACCTGAAAATGGTCTTGTTTGAAAGAAGAGATCCTAATCTAAAAGGTAATATAGAGTTTATATATATTTGTGGCTGTTTGCGGCTAACTGAAGCAGTGCTACGAGTAGAAATGTTTCACAATAAAAAATTCCGGGGTTTTTTCTCCATCGCGATTCAATTGAAGATAATTCGATCTATGATTGTCACACAATAAAATATATATAAACTCTTCTGAGAATGAGAGCTTTCTTGTGATATATGACTTGACTTTATTGTAAAAAATATATCAAATACACATTCTTCGTAAAAAAAAGTTCGCAATGGCTGGGCGGAAAATCGTGTGTGGGACGAATACATTTCTAAGCTTAATTTTACTGCTTTATGAATATAAAAACCAAAAGGAATGGTATTCTTTGTAAAGAAGACACTCCAAGCTTTCAAATGAATCCATATATGGGCTGATACCATATAAGGAAGGCTATGTAAATGAAGCATACACATTTTTAACGTGACTTTGGACCCGTATCCGGATCAGCAGAGTTTAACTGGTTTTAAATAAATCTAAATACTTTAAATAGTCAAGTCGAGTCAAGTCAGCTTTATTTATATAGCGCTTTATACAATACAGATTGTGTCAAAGCAGCTTTAACAGGAGTGTTAAACAGGAAGAACCTGTGCTGAAAATGCAAGAGGAGAATAGAAAACAGCCAATTTATCAGTTAAAGTCAGTTCATTGTTGATTCAGTGATGTAATCGTCCAGCTCTGTTCAGTTCATATAGTATCTGTGCAATCAGGTCAACAATGTTGCCAGAAATACTTTGAGGGTATCTTATTACAAAAAGTAATATTACTTTAATTAACTACATGTACTTACTATATGGTTAGTGTTAGGATTAGGGCTTGGCATAGGGTTACTTGTAATCAGTGCTGGGCAAGTTATAAAATGTAATACATTATATATTACTAGTTACTGTCTTTTGAAAGTAATTAGTTACATTACAATATTACTGTCTCTGAATTGTAATGCGTTACATTACTTTTGACTTACTTTCACCAAAATATCCACATAAGTATTACAAAATGC